CAGACATCTATGTATACCCGTTGATCTGGGTGAGGGACCCTATAAACAACCGAACGCGAAGAGGAGGTTAGGGTCAAAACTCCCCTCCGAGGGCCATTCCACCCCAAAGGCTGGCCACTCTAGTTCACATAGCGTCCTCAGGAAGCCGGGGTCTGCTGGCTTCCCATAATTACAGGACCTTTTGAGAAAATCGGAAAAGTTAGAGAGCAGACATCCAAGGGGGGTCGGTTTCCTGGATGGTCCTTGGTCCATGGCGTCTCTCCTGAAAGTGAAACAGTTAGAGCAGAAAGAGAGGCTGAACATACAAGAACACGAAATCAGAAGACAAACGAGAACAATCACTGAGACTAGTCTCACACCCTCACAGAACACACACACCTTCAAAGTGAAGCACCTAGGCTTCCAAAATCAGAAGTCAGCGTCCTGACTCTGATTAGAGGCAGACAGTGCGCGGCGTCCCGCCTGTACAGCCTCGCCAAATGCTCCGGAGCCAAAGACACAGAGAAACAAATGGATCGATCCACTTACCAAGACCACGTGGCGCGGAGGCCCTAAGCCGAATCTGGCCGCAGTCAGATCAAATTTGTAGAGGCGAGGATGGAGGCGCCTCGCCTTGTGCCTGAGGAGGTCGACCCCTCTCAGAGGGGGACCTCGAGGTGATCTCGCTGGGGCCTCCAAATGTTGTAACCCAGGAGATCGACCAAACTCAGACGCCGAGATGGGGTTTAACAAAAGGAGTTTATTGAGCTAAGTCTGCAGGCCTGCAGTATGTCCCACACAGGAGTAACTGCGGCCCCGGAGAGCTAAAATGGCTCCTTTTTATAGGATTTTGTAAGGGGGGTTGCTACATGTAAGCAAGCATGTTACAGAAGCGGAATTTAGCAGTTAGTTAATTACCTGTTACTCAGTTTCCCAGACATCTCAAAGGTCAAGATGTTTTCAATAAATTATCCCTGGCGCCAACCCCAGGATTACTCAAGGGTCAGTTATTACCCCAGGGTTAGCGATTACTTAGGGATTAGTTAGTGAAGAATGTTCTTCAGTAAATGAGTAAACTGACAACCCCTTTGGTTGTCGTGAAGGCCTCTGGGAGTTTGGGTCAATGGCACTGAGTTATAACACTATTTTGATGATGTAAGGCACGAGACTGTTGAGCTAGCTGTTCCTGAGTGAGGAAGACTTGCCTGGTTGCTGAATCTAGTACATTACCTTATGCCAATGGTCCTGGAAGTCCTGTATGAGCTCGTAGATGACTAAAATAACAAGGTTGACTGTGGTTTCTTAATTTTTGCTGAATAGACTGGAATAAAGCTTGAGTTTTATTATTAACAGTTTCTATAAAGGCAACAGTTTCCAAAATTTGTAAGGTGTTCACAACATAAAGACTGGCGGAATATAAATTAAATTTTTGTCTTGTGATTTTATTCAAAACCGAGCATATTACCGTTAATTCAAAAATTTGAGCTGAGGCTGGGGTGGCTGTCCCCAAATCCTTAGCCATCTGCCTTCTTTGTTGCCCGCTTTTAAAGGCATAAATTACAGAGAAAAAACTACATTCTCTTGGCGTCGCTTTTGGCACCGTTAAGGGGGGGCTGATACAGAGAAGTGGGAGAGAGGAGCTTGTTAGAGGTCAGGGCAACCATTTATCTCTTTTTTCTCACGGTTCCTCTGAGTTTCCCAAGGCCATCATTAACCCCTTATCTTTATATTTTTCTTTGGACTTCTCAAGGCCCTTCTCACGTTAATTAACATTTCAGTATGTCCTCAAGGGGGGTCCTGAAGGACAGAATAGAATTTGGGGGGGGAGGGGCTGGGAGGAGTTACCGTCCTTCAGGGCAGGCTGAGGCATTGTTATCAAAACTGTTTTTTCTTTCATTTGAACCTCTGGACACTGACATTTCTTAATATAATTGGATTTGTCAGTAGTTATATCAATTCAAATATCAATATATGGCTATTGTTCCAGGTGACCAAGGCTCCTGTATATTTTCTGATGGACCATAAAAGCCAATTGCAAATTGAAACTACCTTCTGGTGGCCAATTAACCCCTTAGGCAGTCCATTCAAGTTCATAGAGTACTCTCAGGAAACCAGGATCGGCAGGCTTTTCATAGTCATGGGAGTGCTTAAAGCAATCAGAAAAGTTAGCAAGCACACATTCCAGGGGAGTCCAGGGGGAAGAACTTCCTTGTCCCATCCTGGAAGGCAGAAGGCAATGAAAACACAAAACAAGAAACACAAACAGACAGACAAAGATTACACTACACCCGCAGGTGACCAAACCAACTCTGCAGAACAGACCAAACCAACCAACCAACTCGGTACTGCGGGGCAGAACCGAAACAATGGCCAGAGAACAGCATCCTGTTCTGACCAGTTGGTGCTGTGTCCTGCCTGCAATCACCACCAATGCAAATGCCTCGAGGCGCAAACAAGCAAAAGGGGATTCCCCTTACCTACATCCCAGGAGGAAACAGAAAGCTCCAAGCCAAATTGAAAGCCAAATGTAGAGGTGGAGGATGTGGAGGCTCCCTTACCCTAGTCGGAGGAGGTCTACCCCAAAGGGAGGGGGACCTCGTGGTGATCTCGCTGGGCTTCCAAATGTTGTAACCCAGGAGAGTCAACCTCACTCGGACACAAAGTTGGGTGAATTAAAGGCGAGCTTTATTACCTGCACAGGGACTGCAGCCAACCTACAGCAAGAAGAACTGCAGCCCCAAGCTCAGGGGGAGGTTTGCTTATATAGGAAAGGGGCCATTCAAGAGTTTAGCAGAGCAAGCAAGCTACCTGTACAGAAGCAAAGAAAGACAGCGATAAGCAGGAGGGAACAGAGATGGATAGCAACAGTTAGCCTGGTGCAATACATATATTTTTAACAGTTACAGTTTTGTGGGGTAAAAGGGAGCTTCAGTTTCTCCCTATCAGTTTATTTACAGAGCATGCATGACCCTCTGGCCTCGGGGCCGTTTCTGTTTCTGTCCTCCCTTTTTCTGGAGAATGTTGTTTTCCAAATTCCCAGTGAAAGTCGAATTTCGGTTCATTTTTATGGGGCTAAAAGCCATCTATAACACTCAGTACTGACATGATTATTTCTTGGGATTCAAGGAGCTCCTAGGGTGTAAAAAGGTAAAAGCCTAACAAATGGCAGACCTTTTGCCACTTAGTTTTCTTCTCTTTTCTGAATTTTTGTTGCTCACAAAATTGGAAATCTGGCGCAGTGGTAAAGTTTTTCTTGGACTTCCTGTCTCTTCCTTATGATTTTAAAGAAAACAGAAATAGCAAACCAAAACATTCATATTTTAAAAACAAACATCCCGCCCTGGCCGGTTTGGCTCAGCGGTTAGAGCGTCGGCCTGCGGTCCAGAGAGACCCGGGTTCGGTTCCCGCTAAGGGCATGTACCTCGGTTGCAGTTTGTCCCCGGCCGTGGTTGGTCGTGTGGGTGGCAGCCACTCGATGTGTCCCTTCACGTCGATGTTTCTCTCTCTCTCTCTCTCTCTCTCTCTTCTTCTCTCTCCCTCCCACTCTATCTGTACAAAAATGGAAAAATACCCTCGGGTGAGGAAAAAAATAAAAAATAAAAAAATAAAAACAAATATCCCCTTCCTATCCCAGTTTTCTGGTAGGTACTGAGAGTTTTCCATTTGAGTTGCCTACACATGTTCAAGTTTAGAAATGTTGCAGTTTTCTTTATTAGCCTGAGGCTCTGTTGTAATTGGAAGACATCAGTTACGTTGCTTCCAACCTCCTTCTTCTTCCTTTTAAATAGGGGTCAGAGAGGTAAATACAGTACATAGAGGTGAAAGGAAATCCAGTCTCCCTTCTGTGCATGTAAGACCAATCTGAGGTTTTACTGCCAAAGAGATACTGAATTTGACACTGAATTCTGTGCCATCTCCTCAGAACATGGAAAGAAAAGATGAAGCCAAGACTGGCAGGTATGTCACTCTGCTGCGTGCAGCCTGGTTTCTCCCCCACCCCTGTTGCTCTGACACTTTGTCTTTGTGAGGTGGCCTTTTAGATGAAACGGGCTTCACACAGAAGCCTTATTTGGTGTCCATTGCTCTTAGTGCAAGGTATTATAAATGTCACTAAGTACTCACTCTGTAAGTGGTATTACATTGATAGTGATTTTATTTCTTTAATTAATTGATTTATTTACTTATTTTTTACTTTTAGCTAATTCTCACCCAAGGATGTTTTTCCATTGGTTTTCAGATAGAGTGGAAGGGAGGGAGGGAGGGAGACACAGAAACATCCATGTGAGAGAGACACATCAATAGGTTGCCTCTTGCACAACCCCGACTGGGGCCAGGGATCTACCTGCAACCCAGCCACATGCCCCTGACTGGGAATCAAATCCTGTGACCCGATGATCTGCCGGCCAACACTCTGTCCGCTGAGCTGAATCAGCCAGGGCTGAATTGGTAGTGATTTTAAAGTGAACTTGTAGATCCATGACTTGGTGGAAGCACTGGTATGGGTGAGGAGGGGTGAAGGTGAGGCTCAGTCTACACACCACAGTGGAGAAGAGGTTCTTGTCCCTGACTGTAATCCAAAGCTTTCCAGATGTGTTCCCCACTTGCTGCCACTTAGTGGTCTACTTGTATACTGATGCTGAGAATATGGGAAAGGGTTAAGTAGGGACACTGAGACCAACGCTGCCCATAAACTGTTTAGATAAAACTATTCCCTAAATTGTGAAAACAGCAATTTTGAATTAACATTTTTATCACTTTAAATGTACATATTAAATGTACTTACTAAAAGTTATGTAGAAATACTTGGCTATTTCACCTACATTCTTTAAACATTACCTATTCAAATTGTCTAAAACATACAATAAAACCATTTTGGGGGGCTTTCTTATTGGAAAACTTGGCACTCACTTTATGGTTGAACATATTTTCCTTATAACTAACAGAGTTCCATTAAAACATACCTAATTCAGTTTGGGTTAATTGATATATGTAATGTTAAATATATTTTTATTTTTCCCCAGGAATGAAGAAGTTGTGAATTGCTTATACCGAAGGCCTAATGCAATGTGTACGTTGATTTGCTTTCCCTGGGCAGGAAGTGGCTCCATTCATTTTGCCAAATGGGGCAACGACATGCAGGACTCACTGGAAGGTATGTTAACTTTCTCCAACATCTAGGCAAGTCATAAAGTCAGACAACATACACATATGGGAATATGAAGCATGACATCCATTTTTTATACTGGGAGGTAAATAATAATAACCATTCAAGATTGCATTAGAATGATGTTATCTTTATTTTGTCAGAGTAGAGCTAGAAAGATGTTTCAGAAAATGGCATTCTAACTAACCTTGTACTTGTTTTTAATGTGATTATTGATAGGGTAAAATTGAATCTACCATCTTACAATTGTTTTCAATGTCACATCTGTGATTTGTTCCATTTCCCTGTTTTGTCCTCTTCTTTCGAATGAATGTAATATTAAAAAGCATGTTTTGTGTACCTCCTCTATTGCCTTACTAGCCCTGCTTCTTTTTCATTGTTTTAGTGGTTGTTCTAGAGTTTACAGTATACATCTTTCAGTTGTCACTGTCTATCTTGAAATAACATTATTCTTGATTAAACTTATTCCTGAACATTTTATTGTTTTTGATGCTATCGTAAATGGAATTATTTTCTTAATATCTTTTTTTTTAATCCTCACCCGAGGACATTTTTCCTTTTTTTTTTTTTTTTTTTTCAGGTAGAGTGGGAGGGAGAGAGAAGAACAGAGAGAGAGAGAGAGAATTTAATATCTTTTTTGAATAGACATTGTTAGTCTGATTTTTGTATGCTAATTTTATATCCTACAACATTGCTAAATTTGTTTATTAGTGTTAACTATCTTTGGTGAGACTTTTCAGGATTTTCTCTATATAAAATCATATCACCCTGGCCAGTTTCCTCAGCGGTTAGAGCATTGGCCTGCGAACCAGAGAGTTCTGAGTTTGGTTCCCACTTAGGGCATGTACCTAGGTTGGGGTTTGTTCCTGGCCCCAGTTTGGGTCGTGCAGGTGGCAACCAGTCAATGTGTGTCTCTCACATCGATGTTTCTCTTTCTCTCTGTGTTCCTCCCTCTCTCCCTCCCTCTCTATTTGAAAATAAATGCAAAAATGTCCTTGGGTGAGGATTAAAACAAAATCAATCATGTCATCTGCAAACAAAAACTCTTTTATTTCTTTATCCTGCCTTATTGCTCTGGCTAGGACTCCAGTACTATGTTGAACAGAAGTGGTGTGAGTGGGCATTCCTTTCTTGTTCCTGATCTTAGAGAAAATACTTTCAGCTTTTCACCATTGAGTATGATTTACCTGTGGCCTTGTCATATATGACCTTTACTATATTAAAGTATATTTCTTCTAAGTATACCTAATTTGTTGAGAGTCTTTATTACGAAAGGAAGTCACATATTTTTTATTAATCTATTGATATGATCATATGACTTTTATCTTAATTCGGTTACTGTGAGGTATGAAATTTACTGATTTGTTTCTGTAGAAGTATCATTGCACCCCAGGAAAAAATCCCCCTTGGTCTGGGGTATGATCCTTTTAACACACTGTTCTAGTTTATGCAACATTTAAGAACCTTAAAACTGCCTCAATTTCCACTTCCGCTTCCCTCCTGTCATTTTGTTATTGTTGTTATACATTTTGCTTCTACAACTAATTTTTTTTTATTTTTGCTTTGACTAGTTAGTTATCTTTTCTAAATGTTTAAATGAGTAAAACAGCTTTTATATTTACCCACATTTTCATAATTTTTAGTATTTTGTAACTGTATAGTCTGAATTTCTGTCTGGAATCATTTTTCTTCAGCCTGAAGAAAAAATTTATGTAGTTCAGGTCTGCTGGCAACAAATTATCTCAGGAGACTAAAATTTTCTGTAATTTTGCCTTCACTTCTGAGAGCTGTACAGTCTGGATATAAAATTCTAGGTGGCCATTTCTTTTATCATTCTTTTTTTGTTTTTTGCCTTTTTGGGTTTTATTGTTTGTTTTTTATTTATTAATTAATTTACTTTTGTTATAGATGTTTCTCCCTTTTCTCTCCTAGACACACTCCTCCTGATCACAACCCCACTCCGTTCTATCCCCCGCTCCCAGCAGGGTCATCTATGTTCATTGGTTATACACACATACCTATAAGTTCTTTGGTTTGTCTCATCACTCCCCACCCCACCTCCTCCTCCAAGATTTGTCAGTCTGAACCCTATTCCTTTCTATGTCTCTGGGTCTACTTTGTTCATCAGTTCATTCTGTTCCTTATATTCCACAAATAAGTGAGATCATTCAGTATTTGTCTTTCTCTGATAGGCATATTTCGCCAGGCATAATACTCTCTAGGTCCCTCATGTACTCTCAAAGAATAAGAGATCTTTCTTTCTTACAGCTGCATAGTGTTCCATTATGTAAATATACCACCGCTCTTTTTTTTTAACATTTTTTTATTAATTTATTTTTGTTACACGTTTCTTTCTTTTCCCTCATGGACACCTTCCTGCCTTTCCCATCCTGCTCCTGCCCCGCCCCATCCCCAGCATTGTTGTCTATGTCCATTGGTTATGCATACATGCATATAAGTTCTGTGGTTTATATATCCCTCCCCCATCCCTTCTTCTGAGGATGGTCAGTTTGTACCCTACTTCTATATCTCTAGCTCTATTTTGTTCATCAGTTTGTTTTGTTGATTATATTCCACAAATAAGTGAGATCAAGTGATATTTGTCTTTCTCTGATTGGCTAGTTTCACTTAGGATAATACTATCCAAGTCCCTCCATGTCATCTCAAAGGATAAGAGATCCTTCTTTTTTACAGCTGCATAGTATTCTATTATGTATATGTACCACTTCTTTCTTATCCACACTTCTATTGATGGACACTTGGACTGTTTCCAGATCGTATCAATTGTAAATAGTGCTGCTATGCACATAGGGATGCATATATATATATTTCTAATTTATTAAATTTTGTTGCAGCTGTTTCTCCTTTTACCCCCCTGCCCCCACTACCCACTCTGTCCCCAGATATGTTATCCATGTCCATTGTTCATGCATACATGCATATAAGTTTTGTGGTTTATCTCTCCCCCACCACCCCCTCTTCTGGGAATTGTCAGTCTGTACCCACTTCCACCTCTCTGGCACTACCACATTCCTCAGACTGTTATGTTCATTATATGCTACAAATAAGTAAGATCATATGATACTTGTCTTTCTCTGTTTGGCTTGTTTCACTTAGGATGATACTCTCCAGATCCCTCCATGTCATCTAAAAAGATAAGAGATCTTTCTTTCTTACACCTGCATAGTACTCCATTGTGTATATGTACCACCGCTTTTTTATCCATTCGTCTATTGATGAACACTTGGGCTGTTTCCAGATCTTAGCTATTGTAAATAGTGCTGCTATGAACACAAGGGTACATATATTCTTTCTGATTGGTGTTTCTAGCTTCTTAGGGTATATTCCTAGAAGTGAGATCACTGGGTCAAATGGAAGTTCAATTTTTAATTTTTTGAGGTAATGCCATATTGTTTTCCATAGTGGCTGCACCAGTCTGCATTCCCCCCAGCAGTGTACTAATGTCCCCTTTTCTCCATACCCTCGCCAATACTTGCTGTTTGATGATTTGTTGATGGCGGCCATTCTGACAGGTGTGAGGTGATACCTCATTGTTGTTTTAATTTGCATCTCTCTGACGATGAGTGATGTTGAGCATTTCTTCATATGTCTCTTGGCCATTTGTATGTCCTGTTTGGAGAGGTGTCTATTCAGCTCCTCTGCCCATTTTTTAATTGGGTTGTCTTCCTTTTGTTGAGTTGTATGCGTACTCTATATATTTTGGAAATTAACCCACTATCTGATATATCATTGGCAATGATACTCTCCTATACAGTGGGTTGCCTTTCCATTTTGATGGTTGTTTCTTTTGCTGTGCAGAACCTTTTGAGTTTGATGTAGTCCCATGTGTTCATTTTCTCCTTTGTTTCTATTGCCTTAGGTGATGTGTCAGTGAAAATTCTGCTGCATATGAGGTCTGAAATTTTGATGCCTACATTTTCTTCTAGAATTTTTATGGATTCATGAGTCACATTTAAGTCCTTTATCCATTTTGAGTTTATTCTTCTGTAGGGTGGAAGTTGATGGTCCAGTTTCATTTTTCTGCATGTTGCTGTCCAATTTTTCCAGCACCATTTATTAAAGAGGCTGTCTTTACTCCACTGTATGATCTTGCCACCTTTGTCAAATATTAATTGAGCATATTGCCTTGGGTCCATTTCTGGGTTCTCTGTTCTGTTCCACTGGTCTATATGCCTGTTCTTTTGCCAGTACCAGGCTGTTTTGATTACAGTGGCTTTGTAGTGTAACCTGAAATCTGGTAATGTGATCCCTCCAACTTTTTTCTTCCTTTTCAAGATTGCTGTGGCTATTCAAGGTCTTTTTTGGTTTCATATGAACTTTTGAAGAACTTGTTCTAATTCTGTGAAGTATGCCGTTGGTATTTTGATGGGGATTGCCTTGAATCTATAGATTGCTTTGGGTAATATGGACATTTTAATAATGCTAATTCTCCCAATCCATGAACAGGGTATGTGCTTCCACTTTTTTATATCTTCCTCTATTTCTTTTTTCAATGACCTGTAGTTTTCTGCGAATAGGTCCTTTATTTCTTTGGTTAAGTTTATTCCTAGGTATCTTAATTTTTTTGCCGCAATGGTAAATGGGATTGTTTTCTTAATTTCTCTTTCTGTGAGTTCATCATTGGTGTATAGGAATGCCATCGATTTCTTGACATTAATTTTGTATCCTGCTACTTTGCCAAATTCATTTATTACGTCTAGTAAACTTTTGATGGAGTCTCTGGAGTTTCCTACATATAGAATCATGTCATCTGCAAATAATGACAGTTTTACTTCGCCTTCCCAATTTGGATTCCTTTTATTTTTCCTTCCTTTCTGATTGCTGTGGCTAAGATTTTCAGTACTATGTTATATAAGAGTGGTGAAAATGGGCATCCTTGCTTTGTTCCTGTTCTTAAAGGAAATGCTTTTAGTTTTTGCCCATTGAGTATGATGTTGGCTGTAGGTCTTTCATATATGGCTTTTATT